TGTTGTTCCTCTTCCCCCCCTTTCTGCAATCTCCCCTGATCAATGAATAGAGGCCTTTTGCTGAAGCTTTCGCTGCCACTATGCAACTCCACCCACAACTTAATAAAATTCCATGCTAATCAAATAACCTCTTGTCTTTGACTGGCCTGGAGTTCCCTATGTGTCCCAGAGCCACTTGGGAGAGAGTTGAGACCAGGCAGACATCTCTGAGGTAGCAGGGTGTGGGCTCTACTTTCTACCCATAAACCAAAATTATGTGGACTGAAGACTCATGTTTCTGAAGGCTATGAATCAGGACATTTAACTCATAAAGCAGCCAGCATGCAAAGCTGTGAGTAATAGGTTCCATCAGAATGCACAATACAAGCCTTTTACTGGCTGTGTTTCTGTACCTGGGTCGTGAGTTGGCACAGCTTCCTGTTTAAAGTATAGCACTGTTGTATTTTTCCCCTTAAAGCCTTGCTCTGTGTAGCATGTTGCTGACACTTGGACTGCACCTTACTACTCAGCCCTGGGCTTGGCCTGTCAAGGACTGTATTCCAGTCCTGTCGCCCTTATCTGTACCCTGTAAATTTTCCTGCTAGAAGAGAAGAGAAGCTTATCTGAACATGAAGCCCCTTCTCCAATCTTTGTCCTCTATACAGGCTTCTAAGAGCCAGTCTTAACAGACAAAATTCCTGACATTGTAATGTGAAAGCTGACTGACATTAAAGGAGTAAGCATTGCCCATATATGTTGGCAGCCATCAATAACACTCAACAAATTGTGTTATCAGCTGGCTTGCAGTAAACACCTACAAATGCAAACAGGGAGGCAGAGGGAGCAGTCTCTCAGTTCCTCTTGCACGTGAGTCTAGTTTGGCGCAGCGTACTAATCATTAGATAAATGAAAATGTTGGGGTTGATATGTTAGAACTTGTTTTGCACCGGCTTTGTGTCTATTTGAGAAATATAAAGGCTTCCTGGCACAGTCTTTGTTCTTACGTTGACACTTGGGGTACATTAGTCTGTGTTTTGATCCCTCTTTCATCTACTATTTGGACTCTAAATCTGTAATAAGGGTAATTACAGGAAACTGCACGGCCAGTAAACCACATTTGTAGACAGTGATTGACTGTGTGAATGCTGTACATACATACTAGGGTGGATGTCTGTATTTTTTAAGTGGTTAAAACACAAGTTGAATGAAATTTGGAGAAAAACTAGCAACATCAGCAACATTATATAAAAGCCAAATTTATAATTTATAATTAGAGTTACAGTGACGTAGCACGAAAACAAAAATAATTGTTTTGTCAAATGATAATGACTAGGTGTTGTGGGGTAACACTTGCCAGTAATTACCCTCCAAAGTAAATTTCGTCCAACACATCAGATTTGACTGACTGTAGAAATTGCTTCTCATTGATAATGCTACCGTTGGGCAACTAGTTGCATACTGAAATAATTGTGTGAAATGGCTATCTTGCCATTTTTGTGTTGCCTGTGGCAGTCAAAATTTACCTTGCCCATGTTGTGTATCTGCTTTTGTCTTAGTGACCTTTGCCTCTACTAGACCAACCTTACTAGCTAGGTGTTATCAGCCCCTATACAGCTTCTATAGTCACTATTGGTTTTAGCCATAAGGGCACAGAGGGTGTCAGAGGGTCAGTAATATTAATTTCCAGCTTAATAGCATCATAGATAAAAAAAACGCTCACACTATATTATTTTATACATGGCATTTGATTTATTGCAGTGCATACAGCAACATTTTTCATTGTTTTTATTTGCTGTTCAATATTTATATTATTTATTATTTATATATGTTTTTCATTGCAGCCAATATGGCTGAGTTGAAGCCAGAGCTCAGTCAGTGGAAACACGAGTGTTCTCTACTGTTAGTATAACAGTAGACATGACATGAAAGTATTTGTGACAGTGACTCTCACTCACTGGGACCTCAAAGGAAATAAAGTGGCCTTGATTTGCCACCACTTGGTCTGTTGTCAGAACCACTTATTTCAGTTGCATTGGGTAGGAGGCTCTCTGGGTAAATTGGATATCCTGTTAGCAGAGATTAAGTATTTACGTGCACAGAATAAACCTGATTTTGAACTTGTGCGTGGTTAGATGAGTTTACGTGAACTTCCTATCATTGACGGACTTGTCGTTGTATGTCAAACTGAGTGACTGCCTGTGCGTTGCTCACATGTGGAAAGCATATTGTCTTGAAGAGGTGGCAGAAAAGGAAGTGAGAAAGCTCGACTTAGGCCAGTCCACATGCCTTGTGCTGGCATGCAGAACAGGGTGATGTGGCTGAGTCTCCCATGGAAATTTTAGCTCAGACTTTTAAAGTCTGGAAAAGAAGTTGTGTGTTGTATGGCTTTCTCCTCCGAACGTTTAAACAAATAATTGCCATATGTAATATCAACCTCTGGCTTTGTATGTTTTGAATAATTATACATTGTAAAATAATTACCACATTTTATTAATACAAAAATAAGTGTTTCTCATATTATTATACAGTAATCCCAGGGATGCGACACCCTCTGCCTGAAGCAGCATCAGCAGAAATAGGATAACACAAAGCCCTGCGAGCTCTGGTTTGTTTTCCCAGCATATTTTTCCCCAAGACTGCCCCAGAGAGAAGCACAGCCTGTCCAGTGCTTCCACCCAGTGCAGACTGCTGTGAGGGAATCATATAAATGCACTCCGCAGGGATACATTTTTAGACTATTGTGTGAGTTCCATTTTTAACACTCCTTTTTTTTTTTTTTTTTGCTGAGGCTGGCTCTTGATTGAGTTTGTCATTCCCTTTTATCTACATAATTTAAGGTTGTCCTTATAGTGGACTACTGTTATCTACTATTGCTTACTCATTAGACTCCTGACATACTTTTCATCTGCATCGTATTTAGGACAAGTAATCATTTTAAAATGATACAGACATTTTTGAACCGCTGGTAATATTTCAACCTCAAGAAATATATACTCAAAAGATACTGTATTTATAGCTGTCTGCCAACTTTCAATTGCAATATTCAATTGTATTGCCCCTCACGTTTGCTTATATGAACAAAGACATTTATATAATCTGTTTATATATTTATTTCCCTGAAATGAATAAAGTGCATATTTACGCCAGTACTTAAAAAAAAAGATTTGTCAGAATTTTTTTTGTGACTCAGGTATTGACATGAACAGCAATTTTATAAATTTGCTTCATTTCTATAAACATTTTTCATATTTTTTGCAGTGCTGTTTCCCTGACTACTCTCAGTTCTTTGTGCAGAGCTGTTTTTGGTTCTTTGGCCACAGTGGAGTC